CACTTTGATCTTGCCTCGACGAGACCTAATGGACTCCGCCCAAAAGCAAAGCATTCTAATGTGATCATCGACTTTCTTTTGCCGAAGCGGTGCGCTGTCCCCTGCGTTTCGGTTCAGGCCTTGGTTGCCCGTTACTTGTCAGTCGCATCTGTCTGCGCACTACTTCTCTCAATCCGTTGGACTAGGTGAAAGTTGAGGAAACATTTGCAATGGTTCAGGAAGGCTCGCACCTCGAATGGACTGCTGAACCTCCTCTAGCTAAGAAACGTCCAAGAAGGGAAAAGATTGGAGGAGCGTCTACTAGCGCTCTCAACGAGGATAATTAGAATAAACGGACGTCATTTGGTTCAGTACGAGATGATATATTAAATGTTGCGCCCTTAAATGCAACCGTTTCGCGGAAGACACATACCATTAAAAAACCTTATGGAATGTTGTGTTATTCGGCACGTCGGAATGTTGGCACCAAAAAGTTCCACGAAACAATAAGGTGTTTTAAAGTAAACAACAAATCGGACAGCAGAAACCGTAGTTCTACCTTAATAGTAGATTCACTATTTTTAACAACGAAGGTCTTGTGATGCGGTGATGTCCAAGGTGGTGTCGACAGAGTTCTGTCTCTTAGCTTTCACATCTATCATATGACGATGCCTCATCATCCCTAATGTTTTATGAATGTCAGTGAGGTTTTTGTGCGGCAAGAAGATTGGAGCTTCAGCCACTCTACGTATGCGCAGGTTGAGCGCTGCTCGGAACAAACTTGCGAAAACAGCTAAGCTGTAGGCTACAAAGTTGATACTAGAAAACAACATGTTGTCTGACATCGAGGGAAATGATGGCAAAATATTTCCGTTCTGCCAAACTGGCCTTCATTGTTTTCTCCGCTTGAAATCGCTTTGAACAAGTTATAGACGGAAAAATGATTTTTGAAAGAAAGTGGCATGGGAAAACCGAACTATAAAAATAATATTTGTGTAGACGTATGCTATGTTGTTGTTGTTTTGTCATCGTCGTCCGGGACTAGTGAAATTTAGACATTTGAGTAAGTGAGATTTATTATGTCTGACTTTTAGACATGGTACTTCGAGCTGATCTTAGGCAACCTTCACTGTAACGACTAGAGTCACATTCATCTTTCTCTGCAGCTTTGCCTCTGCGACATGGTTCCAATTTTTGCATTGTCTTCCAATGCATTTGAGGCCACTGCACGGCTCCGAAGCGAGGAAGGCATGGAAAGTATTTGCATTCATTTTATGAGCCGTTTTAACAAATCAGGCGGGCGCCGATCTCTGAGTTCATGTGATAGTTTTCTCAGACTGGTGGTTGGACGCACTTGAGGTCATTGCACTGACAGGCGCATACTGTACTACACGACGAGTACAATTGGATAGACCAAATGAAGAATGATATGCTCGATAGTAGGCCTCAGTGGTGTGGAAGTGTGAAACAAAGGTCATGGGACTACCGAAGCAGTTTGGCTCAAAAACTAATAATCTTAGGAAAAAAATTAAACGCCCGCCAAAGATGGAGTACGGCGAACTTTATGAAGAGCACGTTCAATGAAGATCAATGAACTTAGAAATAATCGAATGATACGGCATACCGCGTGAAATCGATTCAAGAACAAGGTGGTATCTATTGACGAATGCCATCTTTCATAAAAACGAATGATTCCATGTAAATCAGCAGATCCTGCCCTGACTATTCAACAGAATTATTTTAGCAGTATTTCTTGCCACCTTTATTAAACATTATCTAAATGGTGCTCTTCCGTTCTTGCACGTGATTCGTTATTCATTAATTAAAAGATAGATTACATAATTAAACGCTTTCCTCCAGCTTTTTTCACAGCTTCGCTTGAAAGGGTGTTCCAAACTTCGCCACAGGCCACGGAAATCGTCTGGGAGGTTGGTTAACCTTGCCTTTTCTATCAAGGACGAACAGAAGTCTTTTATTGTGCGATGTGGATTGCTGTTTAGCTTATTTAACTCGTCTGTGCGATGAAAACATCTTATTTGTGTTGCCTAACCGAATCATTTTTATTTTTATTCTTCTTTATTTGCTTTGCTTTTAATTTTTGTTCATGTTCTTATTGTTTAATGCTGTTTGTTCTATTTCCAAGTTTCCATTTTGTTTTTATTTTTCCTCTTCTCTTATTTGCCCTTCTCTCATTGACTCTCCCTTGTTGATGTTTTTTGGTCGTTTTTCCGTCACATTCATTGGCTCAGTTCTCTTCCTTAACTTCTCCTCTTCTCCTCCTTCTACTCAGCTTCCTCACTTCACTTCAATCCTTCGTTTCAAATTTGTAATCGGGTTGGTTCTTCTCAGAAACAACAGAATTACATAGCACGAGAAAATTTTCCATCTATCGATGCCACTGCCTTATTAGCCAGCAGTTGCAGGATTTATCTACGATAGCAGCTCAGAGATATACTCTTCACGTGCTTTGCTCTGCACGGTTCCATGCATTAGTCGATGGCTCTCTCCGCAACAGAGGTGCTTCAGGATCGAAAGTTGTCCATAAAGAAAACAGATATGCTGTTCAAACGAAATTTTTCATCACCTTGAAGCAGTCAGTTTTTATGCTAATTCTTGCTCATCTGTCAATTAAAAACGCTGTGAATCCTGCTGGAATTATTTGAACAGAAACCCTGAACTACGCAAATTTCTATATGCCTTCAATAACCGGTTATAATCGTTCTCTTTCCCATAATAGCATTGTTCAAAACCTCAACCGTCGTGCATGTCATGAAAGATAACTTTTGATCGACGCTGTAGGTGGAGGAATGACATGGCTTTAAAATATATGCTGAAAGTAGAAAAAATATACCTACTCCTATCAATCAGTGAAATGTCCAGAATCCCTTACGCCTTAGAGGAGTCCGCTAAGAAAAAAATGTGGGTGGAAGCAGTAAGTTTCAACGCAGCTATCCATCTCCTCAAATAAAGGATATATAAGTTACGGTAACTGCCTCTACCTGACGGTAAGTCTAAGTACGTGGCATTGTACTGACTTACAGAATCGTATTTTGTAGCAGTTATATCATAGTACATGATTTATCGAACTTGTCAACTCACTGTCGTGAGACGAAACTTTATTCCGTAGCATATAAACATTACCTGCTCCTGAAAAATGGTTCATCATGAGTGTGATGTGGCTCCAGCGAACAAAAAGATACGATATGCGTCTGGCGCTCCAGGGGCTCAAATTCCGTGGAGCCATGGCCTATTTAAATCTCTGACTCTTTTTGGCAACCAAATAAAGGGAGAGCTGCAATACTTTATGAAATCTGGTCATGGATTAGTTAGACATTATTCGACAGGAAAAAATTTCATAATAAAACAAGTTCATAACAGTGAGGTTGAAATTTTGGTGGAGCAGTTGCCACCTACTGATTGTGCGTACTACGCTGTGCATATGTTATATTTCTTTAATTTAACAGCCAGAATACCGGTTAAGTGTGATTAACAATGGCGGAAACTCTGGTCATAATAAACCAACTGTGCGAGGTGATCGTCCAACGTATTTCTGCTGTTTTAACTGCACTTCCGCAATGAAGATTCGCATATAGTTTAATAATAAATTTATACAGAACAACAATTCGTTCATCGTCCATCATTCCCATCACAGGCGACGTTTGTTGGTGCTGCTAGTCAGGAACACACGAGTACAACGGAAAGCGTCAGAATAAGCTGCAGCAACCAATGGAGCTGCTGACCCGACACGGCATGGTTGCTTTTGAAAGACATCGCGATTCTCTGCTGAAGCGATGCCTTAGAGGGCGGTAACTCAGGAACCGCCTTAACCTTTGTCCTGAGGTGCTCAAAGTGACAGTTTTCGAGACTGGACTTGATCAGTCTGCCCATCGCCGTGTACCGTGTGCCCAGCGGTTCCTCGATGAAGCACAGGCGCCCGTAGTTAACGTTCGCTTCCAAGAAGCTGAACATCAGCTTCACTACCTGATGATCAGGACTAGACTTGATAATGTAGGTCACGGCCGGCACAACATTCAAAGATAAGTAAGCAGTAAGCCTCAATGGGAAACTCGGCATTACAGTCAGGTGGAACTCCATTGTCGAGTCGCTCGCATGGGCAAGCTGTACGTCATTGATGATGGAGTCAGCGGTCTTGCCAAATTTGTCCAGGGTTCGGTACATCCTACACGAGGTGCTGATCGTCTCGTTGAAGCGATTGAAACTTTCGAATTCGACGCATACGTAGTACCACTGTGATTCCTGAATAAAATTATTAATCAATAGACAATTAGATTAAACATATACTGTGTATTTATTAGCAAACATATAAGTAGAAATAAGGATAACAATTCGTCATATAAACAAAAAGGCGTGCTGTTCTTCGATCATTTGTCAGCTTCTGTAAGAGAAAGCGACTGTTCAGCATAGAAGGCATGATAACAACCACTACAAATATCCTGTGTTCAGACGGAAGACGAAAAGAATGTTTTGCAGCTATGCGCAACGTTAGAACGCTGGACGTCTACGGGGTTATTCACCACAATGATACGAAAAATGCCATTTGCTGACCGTCCATCACATATTATCAGGACTTCTCGTCTTTTACGTCATGAGACGTAAAAGGCTCTCCAAAAGCAGAGTATTTTTTTCCTGCATTAGTCGTCATACTGTAAAACAATTTAAAAAACGGTTGAATAATGCAGCATAACGCAAAAAATAATCTGATAAAACAAATAATTAACAAATATCGACGTGTCGACTTTTGTCTCATGCGGCTTCTTAAACGTAAGAGGTTGATGTGTTGTTCACTGAAATTGGAACACTTCGAGCCAGAAGGCTTTTTCGCCTCATGTGATAGCAAACCGTGTTTTATATCGTAACTCTGACGTTACCAGTCCAAAGTGGAGATGAAAAAGGAGAGGGGTTGGGGACCGTGGTGAAGTATCCGTAAAACTTAGTCATATTTTACCAGCAAGGTCATCGCCCTCGTTACCAAAAGCCTAGGCGGCTCTTGGTGACCTGGGCCACGACCGAGCCGGTATAATTTTCGATGACAGCAACACCATGGGGGACAAGTTAAGTTTTACGGAGACCTCGCCACGGTTTTCGATCCTCCTTGTTTCTCACTTTGACTCGAGGCCGGCAATGGCGGTGTTCTTATTCTGACATATAGAAGATTTTTCCCGTTCATTCAACATAAGCACCATCGAAGGTAAGATGCTTAAAATTTTAGAAGAGTATCGGCAGCCAACAATCGAAAGGCTGCAATATTTCGTCTACTTGCTTCTCAAAACGGTGAACATTTCAGTGGATGCAAGGTTGCACGTATATTTGGAACAGAGCAGTCTGCGGTAGACCGTCATCCTCCATGATTACGATCAACTGTCATTAGCAGTGCAATCCGACGGAAACGCAATTTGGTCCCGCGAGAAGCATTAAGCACTGTTTGAATGTGCACAGAGCGATAATGGTCACAATTATCAATATTACCAGAGTATTGTATTGAATTGTTGTACGTGGAACAGAGCGCATATCCCAGCTATCGCGGTTGATCGATGGACGAACACCGAGGCAAGATCGTAAACCAGGCGGTGATGTTTTAATGCTTTGACGTCACTCTTAATATTACGTGCTTCCTCTTTGACCTCGATGAGGAAATAGTGAACGGCAGCGACCCGAAAGGCGTAAACGACAAAGGCGGCGGATAATCGATCTGCGTTCGATGATGAAACAACAAGTCGACGAGAAAACTTCTTCAATACCCTTGTGAGTCAACTCGGACCTATTGCCTAGGTAATAGCAACAAAACGTAGCAAACTGAATAACTTTCCATGGTCTTTCCAAGACCACCATCAACAATGTTTTTCAACCGAGTTGTGGATGAGTGCATAGTTTGCAATGAACATATTTTCTGTCAGTTTTATCAATGTTGACCCAACGAACTTCTTCAGATTGCTTGACCACAGAACTGGTCTTACTATGGGCTCTTTCATCATTCTCGAAACCTTGTCTAATGTTTCTCTTTTCTAGCGATGGTCGGTCCTGTCAGCAGACACTTCAACTTCTTCACTCGTGTTATAAAACCGCAGACTCCTGTTTGTCTTTGTTCCCCTTCATTCATTCATTCATTCATTCATTCATTCATTCATTCATTCATTCGTTCATTCATTTATTTATTCATTCATTCGTTTATTTATTTATTTAT